TTCCGTAGGCTGCAGGCCTCCTAACGTGTATGGTACATAAGCAAGGCACCACGCTGCAGAGTCTGGCCCAAAACAAATGACGCGGATTGCATGGATGCATGCATGTCGGTCCTCCGCTCGGCAGAATATCCTGCTTGTCTAGACGCACCGAAAAAGGAGCGAGCGGGAAGCACTTGTGACAGCACGGGGAAACATCTATATCTTGTGTCCACGTATTGGCTTGATGCATGGCAAAATGAGCTCCAGTCTGCAGGGAACATTGGCACGAACAGTCGTACTGTATTGATTGGCATGTNGCATGCATGTCGGTCCTCCGCTCGGCAGAATATCCTGCTTGTCTAGACGCACCGAATAAGGAGCGAGCGGGAAACACTTGTGACAGCACGGGGAAACCTCTGTATCTTGTGTACACGTATTGGCTTGATGCATGGCGAAATGAGCTCCAGTCTGCACTGTATTGATTGGCATGTCTAGGAGAGGGCTCGCCTTTAAGTGCTCGCACACGCCTGTACGTTTTTTCTGGGGTAATCGATGGGCTTGCCGCTGCCCGAAAATCAAACTTTAACGAATCTAAGAGCGCCTCTGTTGTGCCCCTCCCCGCGTGCCATGTCTATCCTCAGGAAAAAAGCACGGGCGGCGCCTTTCAAGGTGTAGTGGCTGCGGGGGATGGGCTTTTCGTGAAGACTCTTGCTCCGACTGCCCTCGACACTCCGAACGTTCTCTCGTATTATTCTGGGAGCAAGTGCGGCTACGGGGTGAACGTACAGGCGACATGCGATGCCAACTACCGGTTTTGCAGCATGTCTTGCATTGCACCCGGCTCGACCAATGACTGGACGGCATGGAACCATTCGGATCTATCCACAGCGGTAAAAAACCTGCCGCCAGGCTTCTACATGCTCGGAGACGCGGCTTACCCCCTAAGCGACCACCTGTTGACTCCGTACCCAGGGAGGGGACTGCCGCTAAGACCAGCTGGTGCACGTATAAAATGAGCCGTTCGGTTCCAAATATTTGGCGCCAAAAATTCGGAAATTTTGGAACAATAATTTGGAATGTATAACTCTATAAACTCCTATAACAAAGGGGTGAGGTCTACTGGAGTGAAAATTTGGACAAAAAAGTCGGTCCGCCGATGTTTGGAATTTATTTTGAAATTTGGAAGCTACTGAGTACAATTTCTGGCGCCCAGGTTTTCGTTCCAAATTTTTTGAATAAATTTGGTGGAACGCCTCTGTACAAGTTCCAATGAGTTGGGAAATTTGGAATATATTTCGAAATTTTGGAATGTATAAAACGGCCCTATGTAGGTGCAACAAGTGAGAAAGCGAGGAACCGACTGGGAAGGACAGCAACGAGAGCGTGTACGAAGCGGAGCGGGTCGAGTTTGGTCGTGCTAGGACTGGGCACAGCGGCACCGGAGCAGCGGCACCGGATCAGCGGCAGGCACCGGAGCAGCGAAACCGGAGCATGCGGACGGCATCGAACCGTGGCGCACGGACAAACATTTCGTGTGTTGTCAATTGTTTTCCGTTTTTTTCCTGAATATTGGTGTTGAGTGTGTGTAATGACGTCACTGGTTTTGTAGAGAGACGCGGCAGAGATGGCGCGGATAACCCGGGTGCCTTAATTGTGTACCTGCATCGTGGAAGACCCCTTCAATGTGGAACGATTCGTAGTCAGTGTTGATGTTTACATTGCTGTGCCTACCAGTCAATTGCAATGATGGCTTTGATTGGGTGTTCTTCTTCTTCATTGGCATACGGTTTAATGTGAAGTCAACAACAACAACAACAACAACATTGTATCCACGGACTCATTCTGACAGCACTTCAGACAGCAGCTGCATGCCCCGAGCTTGTGTACCATGCACCATGGTGTTATTATTGTACAGACAGCACTTCAGACAGCAGCTGCATGCCCCGAGCTTGTGTACCATGCACCATGGTGTTATTATTGTACAGACAGCACTTCAGACAACAAACAGTACGCTGTAGTCGACAAACATTCATGTTGGTTAAATGCGGTGATGCTGCTGCTGTATGTAGTCGAATTGTAGTGTGTGAGCGTGTAGTTCATTCAGTTGTGAGCATGCAAACGTGCTGCAGGGATTGTGGGTGTACCTCCTCGGGCTTGTGTACCCTTTTCTTGCTAATTGTGTGTGTGTGTTCCTTAGATCTTCTGATGGCTCTAGCATTTTTGTGACCTCGGACCGAGTCTTTGCTAGATGTTGGGATTAGCAACTGACACGAGTTTAATGTGAAGAAGAAGAAGAAGGAGGAGAAGAAGAAGAAGAAGAAGAACAACAACAACAACAACAACAACAACAACAACAACAACAACAATGGACTAGTCATTGCACAGGCACCATGGCATCAAGTATCAGACACCATGCTGGTGGTGTGATATGGAGGTATGACATGCTCTACTTCTGATATTTATTCAACGTGCTCGTATATGCTACACAATCCGTCGTCAATCTATCGACGGAAATGTCACCGGCCTTGACGCAGGGTCACGGATGAAAAAATCCCCGTTCCGATCCGAACAATTATTTTTTGTTGATTTTTCAGGGAAAATGTGGAATCCAACGAATAATACTGCTGTACGGTAAAACTACGGAATATTACCGTTCAACTTGGTTCAACAGATGTTGGCGGCCCTCGGGTACGTTGGTTGCTCCTCTTGCCAGCCCTCCCGCTTGCTCCTCTCACCCCACGCACCCCACAACACCACACACCACTTACTCAGCTTCGTCTACCACTCCATCAGCATCGACACCCTCGCTTGCAGTAACAGGTCAGTCTCGGACACGTTTAATGTAGTGGATTGATGGCAGCAGCGGAAGCACTACATACAGCAGTGGACAGCAGTGCCGTGATATCTTTTGAGTTGCACCGTCTCACGCCTGTTCATCGATGCTGACTGAGGTAGGTGGGATTGGACCACGAACAGGCAAGAGTATTAACCTGCAAGATCGTGTGCAATCCGCGACCGCGGCAGTTGTTCCTGCTTGTTCTCGTCTCAGTGCGCACTGCCGCAGCCCCAGCAGTGTGCCGTGCGTGTGCGCGTGTGTGCCGCGTGTGGGAGTGCGGCAGAGCATCATGTCCGCCACGCGGTGGATTTTTTTGGTTGTTTCTTCACTCGCTCGGTCATGGACGTATCAATACAGCAGCAGCAGTATCGACCAGCATGTCGGCTCTGTATGCAACCCACCACCACACGCGCTCTCGTTAGAGATAAACGTGGTATCTTGTTGCTGTCGTCTCTTGCGTTCCCCATGCGTCCCTTCGTCTCTCCCTGGGGATGCCGATTGCACATGGTTAACATCGAGGCTGCTGCTGTTGTCGGTTGTCAAAACTGTTCCTGTTCCTGGCCCTCTCGCAAAGTCCGTCCTCTCTCCCGTCGTGCCTCTCTCAGCAGATCCATCCCACCGCCACAACACACACAGAAGTCCCTTGCATCTTCCGTCCATCTTCATCTTCCCTCCACAAGCAATTGCTCGTCGTCTACCGTGTTATTCCATCAGGAACACCGTTGGTTATGCCTTCGATACAGAGTACCCCAGCAGCAAACAGAATGTCCAGATTTCATATGCTGTTTTTGTGTCGGACACGTTCCGAGATTTTTCACCCCGGTCTATTTATTCTTTACATTCGCGCGCTTGCCAAGCGCGCTCCCGATCTACATATCTCTTTCTCCCAGCTTGATCATTGCGGGGTCGCTCGTTCAAGCTCGATGATGATTGCACCAGCCGTGGAGATGTGACAGCGCGTGTTTGACGATTCAGTACTTCACAGATAAACCGACGGGAACCGAACTATCTGCCTACAATCCTTGCATGTACATACAACGTTTGCCGTACCCACAACGCAAAGTCTCGTTGAGGAAGCAAGTTGTGTCCACTTGCTGCGTATCTGACAGGCATCACATACTTTCCTTCTCTCGCAAGTACCAGGGGGTACCCGCATGCAACACAACCACAACCATATACAGCGTGTTCCCACTGTTATGGTCAACGCCCTCTCGTTTATGAACACGCGGCACCCCAAAGAGTATGAAGTCAACACGACGAAAACCCCGCTGTTGCTCCTGCTCACTGGTCGACCTCTTTCGTGCACCTTCAGGAACAGTATATACTACATCGAGCAATGGCTGGAATGAGGTTCAACTCCACCCCTGCGGTCATCGCCGCCGCTTGCCTTCTGGCGTTCTACCAGACCGGCGTCCAATCTCGCCACCTTCGTACCCTTGCTGCCGATTCCGACCGGTGAGTGGGTACGTGAGTGGGTTCTAAAGTTACACCTCAGCGCTGAAAAGACTAGACTAGTCTAATGGTGTAACTTTATTGTTCAAAAGAGCTCATTTGCACCCGGCTGGATTATATTTTAAGCACCATTAGTATTTCTGGCAGCGTCTGGCGAGGGGCCCGTCCCCGGAGATCCCTACTCACCCACAAACCCAACAAGTGATCCCGGCGGGTGCAAGTGCAAATGAGCTCTGAGCATATACTTCCTCTGTATCATAAGTTAGGGTACCTAAATGCAATAGATTGTCTGGGTGCAACCGTGTTAGTGATGGTAGCATAGTCGGGTTTGTACGAAAGATATAACAAAGACGAAGCGATAGAAAAAAAGAAAAAAAAAACGAACATCTAATTCTGTACCTAATATTGGTCAAAATATACCCTATTTTGGCCTGTTTTGGGAATATTTTTGGGAAAATATTTTTGAGATTTTTTTGAGAATTCTCGACAAATTTATCAAAACCATCTAATATTAGTACCCTACCAGCCCACTACTCACTCTAGCGATGGAATCGCCCCCCAGCACACCACCTCGCAAAAGGGGCACCGAATTATCGGTTGGTAGGCGCTATGCCATGGCGGTAGGAATTGTCGACTTTTTCTATTTTTTCCCCGCCACCAACCAACCCTTCTTTTTGTCCCGCAAGTGTCTTGATTTTAGTGTGCCCCCCCAAGTGTCTTGGTTTTAGTGTGGTTCACTACTATACTGCTTTTAGTATAGGGGGCGCGACATGGATCGTTGAGTAGAGGGGGGGGTTGGATGAGGGCCCTACTGTTGCTTGCTTTGCCCCGCAAGTGTCTTGTTTTTAGTGTGGTCACCCCAAGTGTCTTGTTTTCAGTGTGGGGCCACTATTATGCTGTTTTTAGTACGGGGGACGCATCATGGATCGTTGAGTAGAGGGGGGGCTAGGTCTAGGGTCAGGGATAATTCTTGGTATTTTTACCTTGTTTTTGTCATTGCCCCGCCCCCCCCGCCTGGTCGGAGGGGGCAGGATACATGCAAAATACGGCCTTTTTCAGGCCGACTGGTTTTTTCTCGGCCGCTCATGCACGCGGGGTGGCGCATGCATAAAAATAAAAATAAATGTTTCTTGCTAAAAAAACTCCGAAGATTTCAACAAAAAAATCGGAAAACAGATCGGACACGGTTAAGGGCCCGTACAAATTTAGGTACCCTAACTTATGATACAGAGGAAGTATGTTTTTACATAAAAGTTAAACCATCAGTCAAGTGTGTCGTCAGAGGGCTGGCTCATACATTCATTCTTAACAACATATTCGCCTGATTGAGAGCGAAGTATCTGATTGAGAGCGAGAGCCAAAAAAATTGAAATTTCGGGTCCAGACGCCTCTTGCCATTTCTTGGCAAGTAGGGGACGGGCTATTCCAAGAAGCGGTGCAAATTGAAGGTCTCATCAGCAGCTTCGCGAGCATATGCGTGTCATCGTCATCGGATGCTGCAGCGAGGAGCTAGACAAGTTGCTAGATTTGCCCAGATTGGCTATTTCTGCTCAAACTGTTTCAGGGCGGTATCGCGTCGGGCGGTGGGCTCTGCTGTAGCTTCTGCTCCCCGCTGTAGCTCCACAACGAGAGACTCCCACAGGATGACCAGGGTAGCGGCTTGAAGCTACGGGCTAGCCCTTCAATTCAAGCTACACAGCAAGCTCCACCTCTCAGTGGTAGTCCGGCTACAGCGTATCGCGCAATCTCGCTCTCAATCAGATACTTCGCTCTCAATCAGGCGAATATGTTGTTTCTTGCGTTTCGCTCGTGGGCCACAAGTCTATCTACGCAGCAAAATTGATTTTAAGTAAACATACGGGATAAAGTGTTCAATCCGTGATTTGGGTTGAGGGCTAGGGATAGGGATGGGGTATGCGTGTCCCCTACGGCTCATGCAGTACTCTGGCAACTCCTTCGCTTCCGTATTCTGCAGTATCTAAATTGCCGATCGATACCCCGACAAATCAGGTGGGTGTTGTTTTCCTCCTTCTTCGAGTGCTTTGTGCACGAGTAATTTGCGTAGAAGACGTAATATAATTCTGCGAAAACGTGTAATATATTACCTCTCCGTGCAAGAACTGGTGATAATTGCACGTGAAATATTGTTGGGAAGTTAACTGTTGCCTTTTCTGTGCAAGAATGGGTAAAAATTGCACGTGAAAAATTGGTGTTGGAAGCGTCGAATTCCTTGGTTGGTTGTACATTACTTTTGTCTGATTCACAATACACATACTCCTCCACGTGCGCGTACCAACCAAACAGGAATTACACCCACCTGGGATGCTTCGTGGACAAGAAGAGCGACCGCGTGATGGGGCACAAGATTGCCGATGAGGAAGTCGACACGGAGGTATCAAGTACCACTGGTTTGCTCTGTCACGCTCGCCGTTTCTTTTTACCCCTTCCTTCCCGCGTTGGCCAGCTGTCTAGTCGGAATGATGGTGCACGACTTGTTTCAGCCGAAGCGTTGAACCAATATTGAACAGTACGTGCGCCTGTAACCATCTTCACCGGTATTCGTTTTCCCCTCGATTTCTCTCCGTCATCGTTTATTTTCTCAGTTCTGCTACGACTACTGCTTGGGAGAGAACGCGCCCTTGATGGCTACCCAGTGGGGAATCGAGTGCTGGTGCGCCACCGAGGTTGACTTGGAATACGAACGCCACGGAGAGGCAGAAGAATTGTGCGACTACAAATGCGGAGGAGACAAGGTACGAAGGGCTTCCAATAATATGATTTTGTGCTGAACCGAGAGTCGTGCTTGGTTGTCTTCATGGTAGACTTGCGTGGGCTTCTCCCAGCCGAGGTAACCAATCTGCGGGTACTCGCTAGTTGTATCCCTACTTTTCTCATTCTAACCTGCCTCGATGCCCTTCTCTCGTCTTGCTCCCTCTTGCCTGTATTCTTGCGCTACTGTACGCAGACCGAAAATTGCGGCGGCTACAACGCCTTCGACTTGTACGTGATCGAGTCGTTGACCACCATGTGAGACTTGAAAACTACTCGTGTTGTCTGGCACACGGAGACAACCCGAGAGAATCATCAAATTCCGAGTCAAATAATATCAAGAGTCGTCTTCATTGGGGTATTAAACACGGAAATGGAGTATTATGAGCATGCAGGAATCGACTACGTTGTGGGTGGCAACATTCCCGATGTCATGCTTCATATTTCGGTTCTTTCTTCACCGGCTTAGCAGTAAACGCCTACAAAAGGCTTTTCGACCCGACGATGCTCTTCAGTACACATCCGCCTTTTCCGTCGTGTATTTTCACGCGGTGGCTTGTCCTCTCCTAATCTCGTCGTTTTCCGTCGTCCGTTAGAAACACCACTTGTCACAAAGAGTGCCCACGTCCGCTTGCGGATGTTTCCTTTCTAGAACAGGTTGATCGAAGATGCATGCTGATAGCTCGTGACGCTCAGGGGTACATTCATTGAAAATCTGGCTGAAGGTTGAATGTACGCGAAGACTTAGCGACTTGTTTTGTGCTTGTGCTTGTGGCTTCCCCGTCCGCGACCGGTTTGATCCATAACCGCAAGTGAACGGCCGGACGGCGCCATGAACGACGACATCGTGAAGATCATCGACGTCCCTGGTGACAACCCCGGAGGTGCCGGCTGGGCCGACAGCTACTCGGTCGGAAGCAAGTGCTACATGTCGACCACGTTCGACCACGGCATCGGAGAGCAACTCGTTGACACCCCGATCGGCGAGATGAAGATTAGGGACCTGTACGACATGCTCGAGAAGGGGCCCGGATCTGCCGGCCACCCTCTCTACAACGACATCCAGTGCGGAAACGGTCCCGCGAATGACGCTGCTGACGAGACCAACTGCCCCGGGTTGGTGATGGAAGGCCCGGAAGGCTGCGGCCAAATCGGTCCCAAGTGGGACTTGTCGGAGCTCGAGGCGTAAACCACCCGCCCGCATGTTGGTAGTGAATGCGGTTCGGCTGATGGGTTTCTGCACATATATTTCGGCACATGGGCGGGACTAGTCGCATATAGCCTGACGTTCATGTGTTCCTGGCGCCAGGTCTGGTGCCCGGTAGATGGTTTCTCGGCATTGTTGATGGGGTTTGTGCTGTTTTTTGACAGGTGAAGTCAAGTGGTAGAACAAATGTTCCTCTGGTGTTGTGTGGACGGGTGCGGGGGGGGGCATCCATGTATTTAACCTCGAGTTGTGGGGTAGAACTTTATCGGTTGCCGTTGCATGGGAACTCTTGGAAACAGTGGTGCTGCGCTTTCGCCTATTTTTGATGATTTCGAGTTCAGGCATTTTCATCCCTCTGCTCATCCCTCCACAAAGACGCTGTAGGGCAAGTGGTAGCCCTTGACGTTTCGGCTTTTGCGCTTTCTCACACGCATGGGTGACCCGGTGTACGCTCGTGGCAATCGGCGATCTATTTTGATTTGATTTTAACTCCATAGCTTCAGGGTACCAGGGGAATAGCTGGGGAGCTGTGTCCTTCGCCCTATTTACTTGACGCCCTTATTTTTGTACATGGGGCAATTCGTCCGAATGGCCTACCGTCACGCGTGTGGCAACCGTCGTTTGCGGACACGACACTTGTCTTCAATGTTTATTCGACGTCAAACTCAACGTCAGCCTGACGCGTTGCGCATATTTGTTAAGTATGTTGCCCAACTCTCAGGCTATGGGTTCGATGTAGGTGCGTCTCGCCGTCATGACGCCATATATGGAACGACTGGGCTGGGGATAGGGGAATTGTCACCAGGGGCGTTTGCCCCGTGCAATACGCAACACCAGGAGGGGGGGTGTACTCATAGTCGTGCATGCCGTAGTCGTTAGACCATTGACCTCGCATCCCTACAAAGCAACCGGGATGGAGTACGCCGGGTTCTCACCGGACCGGGCTCTCACATCACCAAGCGCGAAGCGCCGTGAGGTATTCGGCGAGTCGCATGAAGGGTGCGCTGCATCCTGTTGCTCGGCCCGGGGGGAAGATGGTTGGACGGTAGAGGTGGTACATTACATAGGTAAGACGGTGGAAGTGCTTGGAGAGGTTCATGAAAGCGTATGTGCCGCGAGCCAGCCGTTCTTCTCTTGTTTTTCTGTGGTGCTGTCTTTCGATTTGTTTTCACTTATTTTGAGCAGTGCACCCCGGCTCGTTTTTTCCGGGGGAGGGTTGTGTCTCCGGAAACGTCTCAATTTTCGATGGCGAACGTCTTCGTCGTGTTCACACAGTTGTGCCGTATCCGTTTCAAGATCCTTCTATCATACTTGTTTTTCGTTGCTTTCGGCACCTCATCATGCTGAAGGTGCTCTGTTCCTTCCGTTTCATCGATAAGAAACTATCCGGCAAAAGCGTTTGTCTTGTGCTGCATCGAGTGCCATGCGGTCGCATCCATTAGAAGACGAGGAAACCGCCGACTGTTTGGTTGGTCATGACCTCTTGCTCCTGTCGCTGTCTACGCGACAGGAGCATCTAATCACCCCACCCAGCTGTGACTAGTGTCGTCAATTACTTTTGATCGACAAGACAGGTGAAAATTCCGGCCGGCCGTCCAGCTTAAAAGGGGGTGTCTCGCATGGCACTAGGTGGTGGGTTCGATCCTTTCCAAGGAGGGATTCTGTCCCAGAGGCACATCTCGTGAGAACACTCTTCCGCGCCACGGTCGACGGAAAGGAATGGCTGAACGGTTGAACCTTTGCGCGATACTCAACCGTAAGTACGGCACAATGACCGCAGGGGGACAGGCACAATATTATTAGAGAAATTGAAAGAATTTCTGTGGAAGACCTTCCTCTGGTGGGACCCCGTTGCCAGCGTACAGGTGTAGCTCCCGCAATTAAGAAGTAATTTTTTAAAAATAAAGCCTCATTTTTCCACGAAAAATAAGAAAATAGGGTTAAGAAAACTGGCTGACGCTGGGTCACACAATAAGAAATGTCTCAATAATAAGAAACAGCGGCGACCGCACGGGGATTGATTGCAATCCCATACACCTATGCTAATAAATCACGATAAGGCGAAATCCTAGGGGAGGG